CTCGTTATCTTTTTTTTTTTTTTTTTTCGAGCACGGCAACCTTTGGAGTCTGGAGTTCTCGAGAAGAAGAAAATAAAAAGATATGTCGAAGAAGAAGAAGAAGAAGATATGACGAGGAAGAAGAAAAATAAAAAGATATGACGAGAAAGAAGAAGAAGAAGAAGAAATGACGAAGATAATAAGAAGAAGAAGAAGAAAAAGAAGAAGAGGAAGAAAATATGGCGAAGAATAAAGCATGAGAAGAAGTAGAAGAAAACGGAATGAAGAAGAAATAAACGAAGAAGGTATGACGACGAAGGAGGGAGAGAGGGTGCCGGTGGCCACGTGGAAGTCGCCCGAACGAGTAACGAGGTACGACGGCCTCTCTCTCCCTCTCTAACGTTCCTCTCTCTCTCTCTCTCTCGTTTTCTCTCTCTCTTTCTCCCTCTCTCTTTCCCTCTCTTTCCCTCTCCCACTCTCTCCCTCTCTTTCTCTCGCTCTTTCTCACTCTCTCTTACACACACACACATACACACATACATACACACAGACGACAACGACGACCAAGAAGAAGAATAAAAAAAGTAATAATAATAACTAACTAAATAAATAAAAATGACGACTAGGCTTCCAGGCTGTGGGAAGGCGATGGCGGTCCGTCGAAGGGCACGGCCAAAGGGCACAACGGGGTTTGCCGAACAACATAGGAAATGACACTTCGTCCACGCGATTTCGCAGGGGCATTCATGATCTGCCCCCATGCGAAATGATGTGGGCAAACAGTTTGAAATCGCAAGATTTTCCTTGCTTCCTTGTGAATGGTAAAAACCACCCACATTTGATTTTTTGGCCGAGGGTTCCGCAAGGCCGCCACGACCACCCTGGCCCCGAGAAACAATTTTTTTTTTTTTAGGTCGGCGCAAATTGCGATCGGGGTCCTGACCGGCCTGTCGGCCGACCGTCAAACAGGGCGTGGCGTCGGGACCCGGGCGGTTGGCATATCGCCCTAGACATGAACCGTTAACTTTTATTTTTCACTTTTTTCGAATCCGGATTAATCTTGGCACCATCTAATTAATTCGCACGAAGTGCGGACAATATGAACTAGTCAGGAAATGCGAATGTCTGGATCATGAGCCGACCGACAGATGGTCCGGGTACGGATCGGTCTGACATTCGGTTCCGTACTAGCAATGTGAAGAAATGAATCAATGAAACTGTGTAGCATCGTGTTCGAGTTCGATGACCAAACCTGAACGTTCGCCAGTGAACGCAAACGAGCGCCAAAATCTTATGAACACAAACATTAAAATATTAATTAAATAAAAAAACAAAAAACCGCTCAGAAAAATTAAAAAAACATATACGTTATGTAAAATTATAATACAAACGACGTTTGTTTGAGACGTATGCTCAAATTCGTAATCAAACTCGAGCTAAATCAAAAACAAAAAATAAATATATAAACGTTCGGGAGGCATTCGACCGAACAACCGAGCAAGTTCGAACATTCTAAAAAGCTTTGAATATGTTAAGTGTGCTACATAACAATTAACTAATTAATAATTTTACTTGTTAATCAATCAATCAATCAGTCAATCAATCAAACACTCCAGCAATCAATCAATCAATTAGACAATCAATTATTGAATTAACAGAATCGATGAGGTCGATCGAGTACATGAGCAAAAAGATACCATCTCAAAAATTAGTGAAGTCCACATATGAGCATGAGCTTTAAGCCCATATAGAGCGTGGGTCCATTGGAGGCACTACCTCCTAGGCAAATTATTTTATGCGAGATCTGACGATGAGTCGCGGCTCTGGATTAAGACACATCCCGTAGTCTCCAACACACTCAAAAGGTGAATTGAAGTCATAAATATGTATGACTTCAAGGTCGACCGTCTGAAAGGAGAGTACAATAAAGTGGTTGAGGCACTATTGCGTAGGGCATAATATATAGGCGCGCTAGTGAATGAGTTTGGAATTTTTGAGAATGTAACTCGGTCTATGGTGGAAGTCTATCAAGACGACGTAGTCACGTATGAGATCATCCACAAACCGGAAGCTAAAGACAAACCTACTTCCAAAGAGTTTTATGTTGGTTGACGATTCTTTTTTTTTTTTTGGGGGGGGGAACAAAGCTCCAATCTATTCGTGGGGAGCAGCACGTGCTGGGAACCGGGCCCAGCGTCCCATATGGAAATTTACATAGAAATTTGAGCATTTGAGGTACCGGGGCCACCCGACTTTGGCTAAAAAGAATTAGAGCTACTTGGCAATTACTACATCAGTCGTCAAGTTTGAGCAAGAATCAGAAAAAGACTCAACCCCCCCCATCAGTCCTCTTCACCACACTCCGACAAGTCTTATTGCATCAGAGTCACCATCTCCGCTGTTGCTGTACCCGATTTTCGTCCTACGAGTTAGCCCCCTCACTAGTAGGACACTTGGTATCCGACCATCTACTTCACCCACTCACCTCGTTGAGAAAAAAAAATAGGACATATGCCAATCATCTGAAAACACTTGCTTTAATTTGAGAAGCATGAGAATAGATCAAGGATGCTCCAAACCCTGGAAATCACTAGCAAACCCTTCCAAAGCTCTCCAACACTGTCTTACTCCCTGCCGAGCTTTTCCAGGTCTCACACTTCCACATCTTGTTGAGTTACAGGGCAACGCAACTCACCCCGTCCCAACAACAATCATTGATTGTCCCATGGCAGCCCACCCCAAAGCATCCCCAGATCTCTCTACCAGGCCTCACGCCCCTGCATCAGCAGGTTACAAGGCAACACCCCAGCACCGGCCAGCGTCGTTCTGGCATCGAACAGCCGCAGATCACAGAGTGCAACATCATTGAAGCCACATAAGAGAGGATGCTAGAAGTCCCCAGAGTCCTGAAACTTTTTTTACCCGAAAACTAAGAACAAAAGAAATGTTAAGAAGGCATGGAAAACTATATGAACGGGGAGTCAAAACTGAAAACAACCTACAATTCAGAATCCCCCCCTCAACAGACGAAATGTCTGTCCAAGCTTTCAGGCCTCGTACCAGAACTCACTTGATATCATACCCCCTTCATGCTAGGGTAACAGGGCACCGCAACCTTCCCTTGTACTGACCAACCTAGTTCTAACGGACAGGAAGTGTCTTCCTCCCTCGACACTACCCTTAACGGCAAGCCCCTTACAGGGTTAATACCCCGGCGCCCGCTTCGTCGAACGATCTGGTTATGCCTTCCACCCTCGACATAACTCCACAAGCCTCCCCCCAGGTCACAGAGCCTAAGCTCCAGCACCGACCTATGTCGTCCCTGTCTCGTTCTTCTGACCTGCTTGCCTAACAACCATTCCTCTATTAAAGGTCTCTTGACTAGATTCCATCCTACAGTTCTAACCCCCCTTGCACCCCTTTAATGAATTTTGACTCAGACCAAGATAGAGAAACCCCTTCTGCCTCCATGAAACGAGAGGAAGGGAGGGGAAAATACCTTCTCGTCCTGTGGTGGCTCCAGTGTCCATTCGAGGCTCAACTATTCATAAAGGACTCTCAATAAGAAACGATGATTACTCCTCCTTCAAAAACATCCCTCTGTCCTTACACCGCCTCTGCCGGAAGGTGCCCCCTCACCACATCGGCCCCAGTTCAGAACAGCCCCCAAAACTGTCATTCCCGCTCCCTCAACAACATACAATTCCTCCTAAAGTATGCACCCACAGAGCTGAAATTCCCCATTTCCTCCTGTCCCACCCGCTCCTAGTGAAACAACCCTCTCCTCTCAACTTGCTATATTCAGCACCCCTTGTCCCCTCTCCCCAACCGCCATGCTGATCCCACCCGAAAAATCAGCACGGCCCAGAAAAAGGACAATCCCACAATACCGCCCCCACCCTCTAAAGGACAACACCTCCCACCTTGTGTAGACCTCACAGGGAGAAGCTCCAAACCTAAGGAAATAACCCCGATCAATACTTATGAGCCAACCCAACAAAGATCACGTTGAGCCTCAAGTTTCCATACCCCCAACGCAGATTAAAAGATGTCGACAAAACCGAAAAAAGGCACCAAGACTAATTACTGAGTAAAAGCGAATTACCGTTGAAATAAAAAAAATCCATCGAGATACAAATGAGATCGGGAAAAAAAAAATCGCTTAGATCGAATATAGGTTGAGTAAAAACTAATTACCATTGAAATCAAAAAAATTCATCGAGATACAAAGGTTGAGAAAAAAAAAATCGCTCTGATCGAATATAGGATGAATGTCTTTAGAAATCCAAGTAGGAAAAACGCAATAGAGAAACGATTTTGATGTCCATCCGGACTTTCGACTATGTTTTCCAAAACATAGGGTTCAAAAAACCGCTAATACTGTAAATCAGGAAAATGCTCATATGAATAACTAGAATTACAACGTACAAAGGATAAACTGATGGCACCACTATTGTATCGTCATCAGTGGATGAATCGACATAGAAGGATCAAACAAGCAATGCAAAATCAAGAATTCCATATCCAGAAAAAAAATTAAGAACTACAAATTCAGGAATAATAGTTGTAGGTGCGTAACATATCAGGAGTTCTAAGTTAGAAAACCTAACAGTTGTTGAGACCGACAAACACTATCTAAGAATCTCGTCGTTAAGAATACATCAAGGTCAAACTGAACAGGAAAAATAACTTACCCTTAACATCCCTAAATGCACCCCCCTCTCTCTCCAAACCTCACCTTCCTCGCTTCATCGGCTTCTCAAGCAACTCAGCCCCCTGTGATTGACAACCATTCAACCAACCAAACAGACCGAACAATGATGATAGTAGGACCGCAACTAAGGTTGCCGTCACAGCATACCAAACCACGTCGCGGGACTAAACCACTGGGCCCGCCAGCCGTCCCTCGCAGGTAGCCCGAAGAGATGAGGGGGTGTCCTCGTTACGGACGTCATCCACCTGTAGGAGATTTTTCTCCCTCCTAATAGCTCTCTCCTTCAAACCCGTGAAACCTTACTTACCTCCCCTTTCTCCCTCCCACAATGCTCCTCCTCTCCACCAAGACCTTTGTGTGAGATGCGCTACCCAATGACGTCCAGACACGCTCCTCCATAACCCCATGATCCCTCTCCCACCTCCTCCTCGCGTCAATCTTGCCATCGCAGCGCTCCCGCCGCTCCTCGTTCCTGCCCTCTTCGCGAGGCCTGCCATCGTGTCCAAACGCCGGGCGGCAGAGCACACCCGGTAGCGCTCCGCCGCTTCCTGTTGGTTGACGATTTGTTGTTCCTTGAAAAGATTGGGAATAAACGTTTGTGTGTTCCCAATAGAGAATTTTTTAGCGTTTATTTTTAGGTGAGTGTCAAGATGCAAACAGATATTTCGACTATAAAAAAACAACAACAAATTTACTAAGCGATTTTGGTGGCCCGCAATGATGGATGATGCAAAGATGTAGAAACTTGCCAGGTTTGCCAGCGTGACAAGCTACGGACGCAGGCACGACTTGTGCTTATCAAGCCCGTGCCCATCCCTATTAGCGTGTTCATGAATTTCATGGATAAATTTGTGGTCAGCAAGAGCGGTAAACAGCACATCTTCGTCATTGGGATAGATTCACTAAATGTGCTGACTAATCGCTATGCTTGAGACAACTAGGACTGACTACGTCATGAAGCTATTTAAAGATACCTGGGTACATGACTTTTGTCTCCCCAAATCTATTGTGAATGACAGAGATATTAGATTCACTAGTGAACTATGACAAAGTACATCCCAACAAATGGGCATCCGACTGCAAACGACATTAGGGAGCCACCCTGTGTCAAATGGGCAGGCCGAGCAGATGAACCGGGTAGTGTAGCACTTGCTGTGGCATTATATTAAGCTAAGTCAAAATGATTGGGGTGAGAAGTTACCTCTCATCACCAGCCTGTATGACAATGTTGTGCACAACACTACAGGTAAGGCCCCCAACTAGTTGCATCTTGGTTGGAAGTCCAGATCTGCTCTCGACTTCGTGTTGCTTGAAAACCAGTCAACCGTACCACGTGGTAGCATGGAGTTTGTTGTGAAGTACCAACAGATGCTGCAGCAGGTTGTAGAGCACATCAAGAGAGTTCAAGATGTCATGGTTGCATCTGAGAACAGACGCAGACGACTGTCTGAATTTCATGCATCCAAGTTGACATCTTTCGCTGAAACATAATCGTTTTCCTTCAAGCGATCAATGCTTTCCCCAACCATGGACGAACATGTTGTTGAGAACAAGTTGATGCCTGTGCCCAAGCCTCCAGGCAAGGGACGCCCTTCGAAACCGCAGATGCAGTATCGATGTCGTTCAGACACCATACTGATCCTAAAGAAGATCGATGGTTCACAAGAGAAAAAGTAATGAAGACTGCTCCCCAAATTATCTCAAGTTATAAACGAAAAGGAAAGCAGTCTGCTGGGTAACGACTTCTCAGAGGACTATCAAAGTAAAGCAGGAAGTGTGTGCGTTTATGCCTTGCCATAGGGCCCTGCAGCAGGCGCGTGCCCGCCCAAAGTGAAGATGGACACCCTAAATCTCAATGCGCCTAGAACTCGTCAGTTTTTGCAAATCTTAGTCGGCTCCAGACAGTTGTCATACAACAGTTGGTTACATCTGCCTTGCTTGTGAAAATCGAAAATATTTGCGAGCCTTTCAGACTCTTTCAGCATCGTGGTCGAAGTAGGGAGCACCACACGTTTATGCTTCGGTGGTTGGACAATCAATTCGGTCTCAGACCACTGTCTGAACGGGCATAGGCGTAGACACTTTGGTCAAGACTGAAGCTATTGGAAATCCAATCTCACCTGGGGAACAAGTAGAAAGTGTCCGCTGCTTTCCATGTATGAAAGGGTTAGGCCCCGGTCGAGACATCCAGACACTTATGGGCGGCAGCGTTGCTAGAGCGATCGCTCGCTAGCTGCTTGCTGCGCTAGAAGTTGTGCTGCATGCACGTGCGCACGTGCAGGTTGAAGGGCGCTGCTGAGGGGAGCATCATAGCCACCTCCAAAGTCGGGTTTGACGTGGACGTTGCGAGTGGAGGTGGTGGTGGTTTCCATACATGAGAGGGTAAACGTGGGTACTAGAAGTTGAGGGTGAGAGAGAGGTGAGGTTGTGATGTGAGAGCGCGTACATGGTCTTAGCGATGGTCTACGGGATCGACATCTTCACGTTCTACGGTTGTTGCTACTTACGTCAACAAGATGCATTGTTAATTCGTAGGTTGCTAGTAGTTGTGATATTGTAGGCTGGGCGTTGAGCGCCAAGTAGTAGGAAGAGCTTAGGATACATATGTTGGTGGTGACGAAAGTTGTCTCTCAATGACATTCAAATTATGTGCTTCGGTTCTCCATTGGTGGAATATCGGTGCATTTCTGCTTTCGGGACAGCGTTGAACTTGCTGACGTTCAATGTGATTTTGCACTCTGAATTTTTGTCATTTCGCTATCGCTTTTTTTTTTGGTAGAATGATTAATTTTAAAATATCTAAAATATATACAAATAAAGATGAAAGTGGAAGTGGGAGTCGACTAGCTCAGTAGGTTTCATGCCTGAGCGGCACCGCGTAGGTGTTGGGTTCTATTCCCATTGCCGTCACTTTCAGTGGCCTGAAGGATTGGTGGCCACGGCCAGTCAACACTGGTAACTCGTTGGGGCGAGTTGTGCCGCCCTGTAACCCGTTGCAATACGAGAGCATCGGGCCAAGTGGAAGTGGTTGCTCAGGTCCTGCTGCGGTCGGTGGGGACACACCCAATACACATCCAATAAAAGAACTCTCAGGTTGAGTTCTTAGTCAGAATCATCATAGCTGACATTCATAATTACAATGCTTATCAGGGTTGAGACCCTCAATTTCGTGATATTTCCAGAGGCAAAAAAACTCTCAACATACCTGTCACAACATAAGCTCAATAAGGAAACTCAATAAGTCATGACAAGCCATATAACCTACAATAATAACTTCCATAACAATCTCGAATTACCCAGGGCCGGTCACCTATGGATATATCTCAAGACTGCCGAAGAGGGGGGTTAGAGGAATAGAGCCAACGGATAGGAAGGGGAGGTTACGAGGGCATAAAAGGGAGGTGAAGGGTAGACAAAGAGGAATGCATTGGAGGAGAGCAGAAGGTAGCAGACCCCTCATACCACCATGCTCGCCTTTTTTTTTTCCCTCCAAATAATAGTTGCAACATCTACAACAACACTTGCAGTTCTTAGAATGTCGCAACTGCGTTTCATGCACCTTATGTTGCAGACTATTAACTCTTGCCCCCCTAACCTTGTTTTCTGTTATTCTTTTTTTTTCTTCATGCACACGAAATGTTTTTACCTAGTTTCCCGCGCCGAGCAGAGCTCTTTTTTATTTTTAAATGTCACATATTCTAAACTAAGGCACCGAAATCCAAAAGAAGCGGTTGTTCTCGACACCATACAATCGAGGTATAAGAAATCCAACAAAAACGTACGGCCGATTTGTTTGCTCATCATGCAACTGGTAACTTACAACTTTTTAAATACATTATAGATCGTAGGAAGCAAAAGAAATAGGAATATCTTCATAGTGTAGGACTTAAGTAGATGAATGGTTCATCCGCCTACATTTAACAATACAATTCGTCAACCGATCTAACAATGTTTGAAAAAAGAGAGAACATAGGGTTAAACAAGGCTACCAGCCTGGGCGACCGAAACTGAAAAACTCTCGTCTCAGGGTTATTTTAAATTTTAAACCTGTTTTTTTTTTTTAATTATGTTTTTATATTTTTTCGCATGGCGGGACAAGTTATCACGGACCACTTTAGTAGTCTAGGGTTAAAATCAATACATAGGAAATATTTCACTAGCGATATAAATTTCGATGTAAAAAAAAAATCACATTCCAACACCATTGTAAAAGCCTAACATCTCCTCACTGCTTTCATAAGTAACACAAAGTTTGATCTCCATTTTCGTGTATGATGTAACCCTCTTCTATCAGAAAAACCGTCTTTGGTTGTTATCATTCGAGAGAGACACTGAAAGATTTGTCGAGGGTTATTCACTTCATAATTAGAGAAAAAAAAAGAGAGAGAGAGAGTGGGAAAGAGACTAACCAAGAGAGAGAGAGAGAGAGAGAGAGAGAGAGAGAGAGAGAGAGAGAGAGAGAGAGAGAGAGAGAGAGAGAGAGAGAGAGAGAGAGAGAGAG